CCTCCCTATCGCCATATTGCTGTTAGACTCGAATACTAATGAAAAGTGGACCTCACGTACATTGAATCCCAACCATCCAGTCCAGATCATCACGGTCCCGAGGAAGACCAGGGTTGTATTGTGCGGTTTGCGGATTGAAGGGTCCCCGTGATCCCTACGCTTGCCGAGAACCAACGCATAGGCCAGAGCTGTACACCCAGAAGCAATGTGTACGGGACCGCCTCCCGCAAAATCAATGGCCGGCAGATTGTAGAGCCATCCGTTACTGCTCCATGTCCAGCGGGCTAGCGGGCAGTAGACTATGGTTGCCCAGAAGAAGCTGAAGATCAATGAAGGTACAATGCCACCTCGTTCAAAGGCACCTCCAACGACAATCATCACCTGCTGGCCTTAGTACATCGCTTTTGTATTACTTGACCAAACTCACTGTGCATGCGCAAAAGAGGAGCTGAAACAGACAGAAGACGACCTCCGGTAAGACCGCGGAGCCAGGTGAGGGTGCCACCAAGACATCCATCAGGCCAAAGTTCTTCAGTGTACCGATAAAGGGCCCGCCGTCTCTTGAATAAGCAAGGGAATACCCCCAAAACAACCATTGAAATGTAGATCTAAATAATGATTAGCGTTGCGCCGAATAACAAACAGGTCGCGACTGGCAAACTGACACTGCAAGAACCATGAAGGCCTGGAAGAGAAGAGCCAGCGCGGATTTCCTCCGTGACAAGCCGCTGTAAAGCATCCCAATCCCCGGTAAAATAAGGAAGACAATAAATGTGCAGGTAGTAATATAGACATAGTTGTACTCGGATCCGGTGTATTGCGCGTTCACGTCGACTTGGGTAGGATCACCACCCTCCGGCGTTGAGGAATTGTAGACTGGCTGTTCCATTGCATGCACATTAGCAAACCAAGTCTGAGAATGTCACTGGCTGTCGCAAGGCAACACTCACTTCAGCCATGATGAGCGAAGAAACAAAGCGGTGGCAATTTCTTTATGATGAGCCGACTTCCAACATTTATCCTCAAGACTGTTTCGGGTCTGCTGTGCTTGAGGGGCCATTCACTTAAATAGTAATATAGATCACTGGCAGTGAGCTGCATTTGAATTCCCACTTTGCACATTGACTGCATAGTTTCTTGGCTGGACCCATTCTGAGATGGGGCATATGCGATATCTTACTCCGTAGATAACTTCAGCTGCAAGTGGTTGGTTATTCCGAAGTGTAAAGGAGATCGTTATCTAAGCCAAGAACCCACACGAATACAAATAGTCGGTCTCGTCGCACAGAAACCTTCGTTTTGGATGACTTGCGGTCGCCTTCTGCTGCTATCGAGAAGTCTGATCCCAGATGCCAAGGTGGACGATCACAAAAGCAGGGGAACCCATATTGATAAGGGAAGAGGAAGGCAATCACAACCATGACTGATTGGCTCCGTTGCAAACCCCGGATCGTACATCCCTCTGGGGTTTAGGGTATCTCAGGAAGGCTGAGCTGGTAAGAGCGATGTGATGTAGCCCATGCATGCGAAAGCCGTCCTGTGATTGGCGAGAGATAACAGCCCGGCATATCGATGCTTCTCGCTTCCTCCAAGGCTAGCACGATGAGTAGGACTTTTCAGCTCCAATGGTTAGCACCTGTGCCCTGCATCCCAGCCAGGAGCTGAAGCGCTATGATATACGATCTCGTGGCTGAAGATCAGGTGATGGATGAGGATGTCCAGGATTCTGAGTGGTGCTGCATACAGTTGGAACTCTGCACAAAACGTGCTAGCCACGCCATCCAAAGGTGGGCCCAAGTTAGAGACAGTAGTCCGGCATGAGGAATCGGGGCTGGATATGAGACAATCTCGTGATCCTCAGTCAGTTGGCAGCGCTGGCGATCTACAACCATTTTCTGTTTCAGCCTTGTTGGCGTTGTCCACGCAGCCACATGCCCCAGCTTTTAGCTTTCAGACAAGCCGGTACGAATATGCTTATATCGTTCATGCACCTATTGTATCTCTCATCTTCACATATGTTGGAGGGAGGAATTTAGGTTGACATCCAAGTGGTGGTTGCTCACGAGCCAAGACTGACGATCACGGCGGTTGATTATCCGGGAGTATTGCGGGGGCGAAAATCATGGCACAATATAGATCTGCAACACCTGATTCATGTTAATTTGATGGCCACTCAATGGCCTTTGTGCCTGGACGCAGAAACCCACCGGCGCAGTAAGGGGGAGGATCTGAAGGATCCCAAAACACGAGGGAAAGGATCCGGTAACCTGACCAGTCGTATCCGTCAGCAGCAAGTAATCCGCAATGCTTGGTATTGTTGTCTCTAGGGAGAGTATGCTCTTCGTAGCTTGTTGGATTGGTATTCCTCGTAGATTGCCTTCCTAATCGATCGTGAGTACAGGCCGATTGAGTGTGCGGGGACCTGAACCTATTTTGTAGAAGTTGTACTGGTTCCATCGACCTAGTACCAAGGCACACCAAGGTCAGGTACCAGATCCATATTTTTTGAGGCACATTGTCCACAAGGTAAAGGGCGTCAACATATCCCCTTTACGCTGCCTTTGATCTGAGAGCATGTCCGCCCGGCATCTTCGGAAGCACGCCCCTCCTGGCGAAACTCAAGTCTTGCAAGGTCCCAGACGATGGAAGAAACCTCATCTTCTTTGTCCAAGGGATCCAATCAGGTCGAATCGCCCCCAACGGGTGTGGCTGACTAACGCGAGCAGGAAGCATTAGTGTCATCCTCTCATTGCCTCATCCTGGTTCCTCCCCATTTTTTAACCATCGCCCTGGCCATGTCTCTCTTGATTCTCGCTGGCTGGATAGCCGGTTCGCATATATAGGCTGCGGAATCTTGGCCGGGATCCAACATGTCATCTTCAACCATGGGCGTCCAGGAACCAGCGCCGAAGAAAAGGACCCGGGTCAGTCATACCAAAGTGCGTACGGGTTGTCGGACCTGTAGGTACGGAGTCACCGTGCACCTTGATCGTTTGCTTGTGCATGGGGACCACCGTTAATGTGGATCATGTAGGATTCGCCATAAGAAATGTGACGAAACCCGGCCCATCTGTCGCATGTGCAGCAGCACTGGTCGGATATGCGATGGATACCAGCAAACCATCGATAGAAGAACGCGCGCTTCCAAACTACGGCTCGCTTCAACATCGCCATCATCGACTAGCAGCTCATCTTCAACGGTGAGCGTGCCGTCCCTAGTGTCGGATCTGATCTTACACACCAATGAAATCGACCTCACCCGGCAGGAGCGTTGGTATCTCGATTTCTTCCGCAGGAATACCGCTTTTCAATGTTCCGGTTACTTTGATGATGACTTCTGGCTGCGTCTAGTCCACCAAGTCACCGAAGCCGAGCCAGCGGTCCGCCACGCTGCCATCGCATTAAGTGCCCTCCACTGTAACTTTGAGCGCACCACTACCGGCCAGGGGACCATAGACAGCCGCCTACCTCTCCAACAATGTGTCAAAGCAATATCTTCACTGCGACATCAGCTAGCGGGTGGAGGAGTTCCATCCAGCGCCAACATGGAAATAACACTCGTGACCTGCGTACTGTTCGTCTCGTTCATGTTTCTGCAGGGTGATACGCAATCTGCCTGTTGTCACTTGCGTGGTGGTCTCAAACTTCTTAAGGAATGGAGAAGCACCGGCAAGCCGGGATATTCTACCACAGGTGCAGTACTGATGAAAGTATTCGCCCGTCTACAACTACAATGGTCAACTTTTGCCGACGAAGTCTTCATTGAGGAGGTGGATAGCAACCGCTGCGACGCCCCCTACATGGAGATCAACGATCTCAGTCTTGAAGAACCGACCGACAGCTTAGAAAAGGCTGGCAGCCTGCTTGTCAGACTAGGCCGACTCGTCCTGACTCCTAATTCCCCCGACACCTTCTCACCAGGCTACTGCACCGTTTTGGACAGCAGACGCATGGCCATCCTCAACAAACTCCAATGCTGGACCACCGAGCTCGACAATTCAATGACATGCACCGGCAACACCCTACTCCTCCGCGACAGCACCATCCTCACCGTCCTCAAACTCTGGAGCGAAATCATCTACATCATGGCCGCGACAGAAACGCGCCTCGGTGGCAGCGAAACTCGCTTTGATGCCTTTCACCTCAACTTCGGCCGAGCTGTGGCGCTCGCCAAAATCCTCCTTCTCTCCACACCCACCCAATCAACTATACCCAACTTCTCCATTGGAATGGGTATCATTCCTCCTCTTTTCTTCTGTGCATTCAAATGTCGCGACTGGTACATCCGGCGAGAAGCAGTACAATTACTCCGCAGCTGTCAGAGACAGGAAGGTCTCTGGACAACGCCGGGGGCCGTCATCGTCCTGGAACGATTGATCGATATCGAATCTAAAGGCCTCATGCCAGGAGATCTGGTTCCAGAGTCACGCCGCATTGACTCGATACATGTGAGCATTCTTCCGGATGATCATAAGATTGGGTTATGGTATCGTCGATCGAGCCGGCAGATGGGACTGGACGGCTATGTGGATATCGTCTCGGGGATGTGGGAGAAGGTACTACTGGATTATCATGTGGGGTGATGCTTGAGGTATAACAAGTATTTAATGGGACTTTGGTTGGCGATTTATCATGTATTAGATACCAATTTGCTCGGCGTTAATTTAAATATCACTGATGAACTCTTATCAAAAATATATTTCGAGTTGTAGTAAGCATTTATTGACTAATAATCAGCAGGTATCACCACCAATTCCCACATCAACCTCATCACTGCCATCTTACTACCTTTATCTGCATGCATACCAACCAGAGCCGCAACCGATGAAAGCACACCCTACTCAACATAATCCTTCCCAACAAATACAAAACCAGAATAATAGCAGACTTGAAAAATTACAATTTCCTAAAAAAAATATATATATAAACAAAGTCCCCCCTCTTCCCTTCTCTTCCCCAACCCCAAATTCCTTTCCTTTTAGATCAAAGTACCACTAAACCTAATACCACTGACACCTCACCACCGGATTAAACATACTCACACTCAACGCCCCATAACAATCATGCACCTTACTGTCCCCATAACTCTCACAATCGACCGTCTTCCCCAACTGCGGACAAGTAAACGTGCCCGGCTCATCACTCGTCCCCTTATAAACACAATCCTCCATATCATGAATCTTAAAATCCAATTTCTTCGTCCCATCCGGATACGGCGGATCCACCACCTTAATATTCCCGCTCGCCTCTAGCTCGCCCGCCTCCGCATCCTTACAGAAATTAATCGAGGAGCCCATGTCCGGCGTGAAAAATGACCAGTAGCTGTACACGTCGGAGAGGTAGGCGATGACCATTTGGGCGGTGGGTGTGGGCGTCGGCGCCGTGTAGATCGTGCTGCTGGTGCCGGCGCATTTGGTGTACGTGAAGGTCGAGAAGTAGCTTAGGGTGGAGGTCGCGCAGACGAGGACGTTGCTGTTGAGTTCGGTGGTGGTGAAGGGGGGGTCTGATGTGGTTTTTGTGGATGTGGTTTTTGTGCTGCTGGTGCTGGTGGGGGTCGGGATGGAGGTGTAGGAGCAGCCGCTGCCCGAGGGGAGTTCGGAGAGGGTCGTGTAGTCGCCGTTCGGTTGGTTACAGACGCAGACGTTGCCGGCGCCATTGTCGGGGTCCGCGCTGGGTGGTTGGGTTAGTAAGTTTGTGGTTGGTGAGGGTGAGTATGGGGGAGGGCTTACTGGTTGGTGCAGAGGGGCGGGGTGTAGGAGGAGGTTGTGGTGACTAGGGTTGTGGCTGTCTGGTTGCGTGAGGGAGAGGGCGTCACGCTGGAGGTGTGGTGCGTGGTGCTGGTGTCGCTGGCTGTTCCGCTGTGCGTGTGGATGATGATGGTGGTTGTGGTGTCGGTTGACGTGCTGGATTTATTGTCGGTGCTGGTGGATGTTGAGTTGGTCGTAGCAATGCTGGACGTGTGGGCTGACGAGGATGCAGACAGCGGTGCCGAAGAAGAGGATTCGGTAGACTTGGTGGATGTGGCCTTCTTTGTGGTGGTGGTATCTGTGGATGTAGTCTTGCTTGCTGCAGCAGATGACGATGCTACCTGCGAAGATTCCGTCTTGGATTTGGTCTTAGTCTTCGTGGAGGTAGAAGAATCCTTGGTGCTTGTCGAAGACTTGGTCGAAGTGGGTGAAGCAGACGCGCTCGCCGAGTGGCCGCCTGAACCGGCAGACGAGCTAGAGTCGGAAGTTGTGGTGGACCTTGTCGACGTCTTGGTCTTTGTAGACTTGGTAGACGTATCGGTATCCGTATTGGTAGACGTGGCAGTTTTTGAGGACTTCGAAGACGTATCGCCAGAGGTCGTTGTTGTTGTCGTACCGGTGCTCGTCGCGGTAGAGCCAGTGGCAGTCACTCCCACTGCGCTGAGGGAACTTCCCTCGGTCTCAAAGGCGTCAAAGTAGGACGAAAGCTTGGACTCATCCGAAGAATCATTGTCTGAGGAACTACCCAAGATCGACACTGCCTCATCCGCAGTACTGGAGATGCAGCTCGCAATACCGATGATATCTCCCAGCAGGCCTCCACCGCTGCTACAACTATCGAGCGCCGATTCGCTATCACCAGAGCTTGAACTTAAAGAACTCGGTGCCCCAAGTACGTCGAGAACGTCATCCGCTACGGGGATGACGCGCTTCAAGGGCTTGATGAGATCGGATGCCTTGACGGACTTGGGGTCCTTCTTCCATTTCTTGATCACTGGGTATGTGTCCTTGACGAGCTTGTAGAGGTGCTTGATAATGGCGTAGACATCAACAGAAGAAGTTGTAGTGCTGCTGGTGGTTGAAATTGTTGAGTTTGGTGTCGTGGAGGGCCCGGTCGTGATGCTAGCACTTTGGCTGGTATCAGTGTTCGTAGTAGTGATGGAAGTGATGGAGTGAGTGCTCGATGTAGGAGAATGAGATGCAGGGCTCGATGAAGCATTCTCTGAGGAGCTGGAGCTTGACTTTGACGTAGGAGTGTGAGAAGCAGAGCTGGACGTGGTGTCCTCAGTACGACTGTGTGTTGTGTGAGTCTTAGTCGAAGAGCTAGTGTTCGGTTTGGATGAAGCTGGTGTCGACGTGGTAGGGGTATGAGAACGAACAGGCGTTGATGAGCTCGTGGAAGTGTCGTGCTGAGCTGAAGCCGACGAACTTGTCGAGATGTCCGATGAGGACGTGGAAGACGTAGGCGTATGAGTGTGGGTATCCTTCGATATACTGACTGTATGGGATGATGTAGCAGACTCAGATGAAGCATGCTCGGAGGAGCTCGAAGAATGAGTGGAAAGAGTGTGGGTTGAAGGAGTGTGAGATGGACTGGTGGGAGTCTCAACGGAAGCAGGGGTGAACAAGCTGCTAGGGGAGCGAGTGGAGGTCTCCTTGGAGACGACAGAATGAGAATGACTTGACGCAGTAGTATGATCTTGAGCAGGGACCCCTGCAGAAGAACTTGACAATGTCGTCGCATGAGAGTGGGAACTCGAAGGAGTGTATTGGCTGACAGATGTGTCATGCACACTACTACCATTAGAACCTATCTCTTTGATTATCAAGGGAAGACTGACCTTTGGGGCGTGCTTACAGGCGCGCTAGAGTACGAGAGTGTCGTGGCCCCACGAAAGCGTGTAGTAGACTTCGATGCTCCATCGTGATCATCGGTCGAGGCCCCCTGAGCAGCACCAAGGGAGGCCGTAGCCATTGAAGAAGGAGAGTACAATGGAGTATTCGAGGCTGAGATCGTGGTAGCTGTTGCACCCGACTCCGAAGTCCATGAAGTAGGACTCTCGTAAGAGGTTCTACCCTGGGTGTTTGCAACAGCCGACGAGGCCGGGTGCGAGGACTGAGGAAGCCCTAACGCTGGTGAGACGATGCTGGCAGCGCAGAGTCCTGCCAGCAGGGCTTTTGCATTAAAGAGTGGCATTGTCCAAAGGACGATAAAGAATGACTGTAACAAGCAAAAACAAAAAGTGAGTGACAGTTGGCTTACGCTTGGCATAAGAAAATCTCCTGAAGGGAGACTGTTTCTTTAGTATTCCCAACTCTTACTCCTTGGTGGCTGAGCTTCGGTAACAGCGTAGAGGATCGGGCTGGCCGCGGCGGTGGCTTTTGGCCCCCAGAGGGCCAAAACCAAGCAATACCACCATCCCCATTCCATTAATGCTTCGAGTCATTTCTAATCGTGGAATTGTTTGTCTACTGCAGTTACAGCTCGATCGGTCGCATGCGCGAGTCAAGCTATTCTGCTTATTATTGGATGGAAAAGTGTAAAGCCCATCAGCGTGCGCGTTTGAACTTGGCTTAATCAAACCCGATCCTCTGGCCCCCAAGACAGCCTGAATGGGGCGATAAATTCGACAGAACAAGCGATAATATAGGCGATCTTTGCACTGCCTGGTGGTCAACGCGGATAGTTGCCCGATCGCTGCTTGGAAGACAGTCTCCTAGATCGGCTAAGTGCTTAGCTTTCAGTCTAGGCGACCAAGGAGCGTGGAGATGGCACCAACACATGTCTTAGGCAATGTAGCGAAGGAAATATTTGGAGTGGCTTATTGAGATGGCCGGGGCTGCCATCGTATGTGTGCTGAAGTAAGTTTCAAAGAGAGGGTCCATTAAATATCAGGCAGCTTTGACAACTGAATAGAAAGGATGCAGATCGACAAGTCGTAGAGGCCAGAATGGACACTTAGTAAATAGCTAAACTCCGGATAGGTGGACACAACAGGACATCTATTGGCGTACTCATTGGATTGTCAATTGATCCGACTGTATGATTGTCATTGATTGGCTGGGTGGTAAATAAGCTCAAAATTTACTCCAGATACCAGGAGAAGGAATCATCACTTGAAAATATCTCAAGACAAAGGGCAGAGACTGGCTAATTGTACGTATAGTACTACCACCACTACTATTGCCAGTTGTCAAGTTCAACCATTGGTCCAGGGGATTAGACGTCCAGTAAAGAATAATATAAAACCGAGGAGTAGTTTGTCCAGAACATTATTTACACGTGATTATATCAGAACTACCACACACTGTGATGAATTGACTATAAGAAAGACACTTACCTAAGTCATATAATCAGGTTCGGTGGCGTTTTTTGATTCCAACCAAGATTGCTCGAGTGAAAGGTAATGACAAGAAATGAAGAAAATCACACAATCACTATGTCAAATGGTCAAGCATCAGCAGACTTAGTAAACTCGCCGTAATCAGTTTCAAACTTGAAGTATTGATCGTCATATTTTTCTCCGTCAGCATGGTAATTCCACGGTTTTCCAGTAAGAACCAGATTGTACGCTGGAGTAACAAGACGGTACCACCCCGCCCTATTTGAGCTACCCTCTTCGAATGTGAAGCGGAGACTCTCATTGCCTGAGTATTCATATTTCATCCCGACATTGTCCATGATGGAAAATATGCGGCCGTAGACACCGTTCATGTTAATATGGAAAGCCTGGATATAGAAGGTACCATCCGAGCGTGAGACAAGCTCGAAGATCTGGTCTTGATAGACTGTATTCCTGTTGTAGGCGGTGAGTGCACCCTCATTGCCAGTACCTTTATTGGCAACAAGTACGTTATTGGTTGCGTAATTGAGGAGGCGAAAAGTTTCTCCTTCTTTGGGAATCGGCATAGTGTTCGTGACTTGGATAGATGGATGGATAGTAGAAGAAGACTTAAGGGTAGATAAGTAGTGTTGATTGACTGTGGATCAGTAGAATTCTACCAGGCATTTACGTGATATTTATATCTGGCTGCTTCTGTGATGAAGGGTATTCCAAGAACTATTTGCGTCTTGGGTCATACCTAACTTCGATATTAGTACGCTATGGTCAGCTCGTCATTGACTGCAATATACATTGCTGAGAACGGATTCGTAACAATGTCTAAGGTATCGATGCGTACAATGGGATTGTTTGTGGGTACTGGATCGGTTATATAAGTCATTGAATCCGTGGTAGTTTGACTTTATTACATAATATCTTGATGCATTCGTACAGTCCCGTCATCGACTGTACTATTTAGCTAGTGTCAAGCACGTCATTAACTCATCCATACAGTGGACGCCTTGTATATTTTCCTAATGTCAGTGCATAGCAAATAGCTGAAACCCAAACAAGAGCAATGTTCTTCTGTGATCGGGCCCGCAATCCCACAAACCTTACCGACCAAGAGGCTCAAAAAATCCTCAGCGGGTGAACCTCCAAGCAAGCCTAACAAACCACATAGATCGTCTTTGCAGAAGTTATTTCCTATAGGAATAATGGACTATTTGCACTGTCTTAGGGGTAGTATTGTGACTTACCGCTGGTGCCAGACTGAGCAGGTTAAGGCCACTGTTAAAGCAGGACTGCTGTCAAGAGGGGATTGCTCTGAGAATAGGACTGCTATATGGCAAGGTAATAACTTTGAACTATAATAACTTTCAGTTTAAAAGATAAAGCACCGCCTAAATATAAATAGTCAAGTATTACTATTTATACTGTTTCTTATACGTAAGTACCGAACTTCAACGAGAGCCTACATAGGGCAATCTCATATGACAAGTTTCATAGACCTATTGTATAGTAAGGACACTTGGTGATTTTGAACTACAAAAAGAGTAGAAAGAGACTATCTTCATCATATTGATAAGGTCTTTACGATCCAGTAAAAGATAGCAAGTGAAACCCTAGCCATGTCTTTGGAATTAGAGCTCATGAGGGATGCGCGTTCAAAACCGGTCAGCCTGAAATTCCAGATGGCCAAGTATAATATATTGAGGTTCCATTACCTAAAGCACACTAGGTCGGACTGCGGCTCATGATAGTGTGTAGTAGTGTTGGACAAAACTACCTCAATATTACCTCACTTTAGACATCATCTCTCCTCAAAGTCTCCTTCTGCTATCCATCTCATCTCATACTCTCTTTCCCATCTTCCATTTCTCATTCTTCCTTCTCTCTGTCACCGATACCGTCCATGATGCCTAATGATTATATTACCCGTACTGTCCACTCGCTGAGCCACGCCGAAACGTTCAGTGAAGCTCTCAAGGCCATCAACGAAGGTGTGACCAGAGCCTTACCCTCCAAGCGCCAATACAAACAAGGAATTGTACTAAGCCTTCGATGGGAGAACGACAACTTAGACCGGAAGGATATTGACGAGCTTCTACGACTTTTCAACACGAAATACGGCATCAAAACAGATTCCTTCTTGCTCCCATCTGCGCCCATAGCGGAGGTAGCTTTGGCTATTCAGGCGAAAATTCGAACGATGCTCTCTATCTATGACTCCCCGGACACACTCTTCGTCTTTGTATATGAAGGCCATTCGAATGCGTACTACGACATACCAAATGCCTGTGTCAGTATCATGTAAGTAGGTTGATAAATAAATTCCCCAGAGATTACTATCAATAATCTAAGTAACACTATAGGGGCTCGATGAGGGAGCCTACGGTTTCTCTACCTTGGGGTTTCGTGGAGACCGCGCTGGCCTTTACTGATGGAGATGTCGTCTTCATACTGGACTCGCCGTTTCCATCTAGGGCGGCGATGATTTGTGAAGATATTGAATACCTCGCGGTCTCGGCATTCGGGTCACCAGCAGCCAGAAGCATCAATGTATCCCTGAAAAGGCGACTCATTGATCTACTGGGTCAAGTAGACGCCGAAATCACTATATCACAAATACACGCCAAGCTTGCCGCGCATGCAAACAGTCCAGGCAGCCAACTGGGACTTATACCAGTACATTTCCCGGCCAAGAACAAGCCATCCATCACCCTTCGCCCTATAGGAGCGTGCCCAAGGCAGCGTAGAGGTCCCCGGAAAGCAGGTGACTTGTCAGATGGCAAGGTTTTCGTTACTGTTCGGATAGTCTCAGACACGACCAGTGTGCCGGATATCGTTGAGCAATGCATCCAGTGCCTGTCAAAATCGATTGCGGGGGATGTGGCAGATATCAAGATTGAGGGTATCTTCAAGTTCAGTCCGGACTCATCCTTGTTGCTGTTTACAATGCCAACTGCGGTTTGGAACATGCTTCGTCATGATCACTCCTTTGACTTCGTCAGTGTTGTCCAGTCATATAATCTACTATGTCATCGGTCGACTGCTACTACTACTCACCCCCTGGCTCTTGCCAGTGGGAATGCTGATTTACCCTATGGGGGCAAAGGCTGATCTTATACTGCGTTCAAACTAGAGTTATTCCGCGATGTACTTTCGTCTCCTTTCAATCTACGCGGTTTGGGGAAAAGGCCTTCGTCTGCTCCTCACACCGGTCAAGATAAACGTTTCGATCCTATTTAGTCTTTATATTCAGTAAAAGTACTGTTACCCTGCTGAAGATACATTATGTCTATAGTTTCGAACGATTTAGAAAACACACCCTCAATGACTAAAAATGGAGAGATTAAGCATTTATATATTTGTCCGTCAGCAGAGTTTTAATTCATCCGGTTTTGACACTTTCATTGTGTGATTTACTTCCCCCGAAATTCTAATCAAGAAGATCTCCTTCTACCTCTTTTATACCTTCCTACAAGATTCCCACTCAGCTTCCGTATTGATTTACCACGTGTGCCGTTTTCGGAGGTGGTCTCGGCGATAGAAAAGATGAACGGGGTTCCAAGATCATTACTTAGTATATTCCACTGGCTGTATTACTGATGCAGAAATCATGGATGCGGTATTGATTACAGAGTAACGCTACGTACTGCTACTAGAGCATGCATCATGGCTTCGAAGAAAGCGATTAAGTCACCGCAAGCCGGGATGTGACACTGCACGGAGAATGATTCATTCCGCTTTAAAAATGAACGAAGCCAAGACTTGTTCCTGTCTCGTGGAAGTCGCGGAAGTCGGAAGTTGATTTGGACTACAGAGCCGCGGAGATAGGAGCTCCCCGCGGAGATGGTCAAATTGCGTCAAACGGTACTCCGTACACGAACCACCACGCCACTAACGCCAACCCTTGAGTATTCGTGCAAATTCTCATCGAACCTGGCCAGAACATCAAACGAAAGTAATAAAAAAAGTACACCGAGAAAGTAATTACGTAATTAACCGGTTGTTGTCAACCTTACACCCCCTAGCACCTCGTCAATCTTCATTCCACCATCCATCACACCCGGTTGTCTACACCTGCTCCGCTCCGTGAGGGATATTAGGGATATCAGGGTTATTCTGCAGTTGTGAGTTGGTCGGGGTGTGGTTCCTCCGGCCGGCTGTTGGGGATTGCGGCTGCTCTACCGTAGTAGCTTCGGAGTTATATGAGGGACGGTGCATCGACATATCCCACGATCCGGGTCCACCCGAGCCCATCTTGGCTTCCCATTCATTGTAGTCTTGGCCCGGGTTGACGGTGGTGTACTGGAACATCTTGAGGAAGGTGAAGAAGCCGCATGCGAGGAGACTTCCCAGCAGCGGACCGACCCAGTAGATCCAATGGTACCCGGGGAAACTGCGGTTGATGACGTCAGGACCGAGCGATCGCGCTGGGTTGAGTGAGCCGCCAGTATAATAGTCCCCTACAGGAGAAGAGGTTAGTCGCATATGATCTAGCAGCAATTGGACCGGAAGTCATTTACTTACCAACCATCTCAGTCACGAAGAACACCAGGCCGATGCCCACAGGAGCCAGGAAGGTGGATTTATGTTTCACAACAGCCAGCATGATAATAATGAGCACCAGCTGAGCCGTCAAAAACATTTCGATGAACAGTCCTTGTGAGATTGAAGCACCACCGCCCAGACGAGTGCCGACGTTCAAGTCGCCTGGGAACAAAGCACTCACGACACCGGCAGCCGCAATGCCTGCAATGAGCTGAACCCCGAAAATAATAACCCCACGGATGGGAGACAATCCACCAACCAGACACAAGGCCAAAGTGACCTAGAATAATGATCAATCACATATCTCGGAACTGGCATGGTACAACATACTGCGGGGTTAAATAGACCTCCAGTCACTCGATAGAACGCCCACACATTGACCATCAACGAGAATCCAAAGCAGAGCGAGGAGTATAGCAGGTTTGAAGTGTTTGGAGGAGACCCAGCCGCTGGTTTGGGGGTATTAGACACCTGCGTCCCAGCGAAGGAGAAGAAGAGGAAGAGAAAGGTTCCCACGAATTCCCCGACGGCGGCGATGAAATTGTTCCGCGTCGTGTCGGCGAGGTGCAGCATAGGAAGCTGATTATTCGAGGATCTATAGACGGGAGCCGTCTGGTCGTCGGTGTTGCGCTTGCGAAACCATTGTGGGGGCCCCATGATGATATTCTTTACAAATTGTTCGAAAAACAAGGCCGATTGTGAGCGGAATCTATTTGCGACCAAAAAAAGTGGGCTGCTAGAGCAACAGAGCGGCTTTTATGCATCAGGGTAGGGCGAGCTGTCAGCTCCGCAGTTCCAGCTGGAGCAAACGTCATGACGTTCTCTTCCGGCAGGAGGCTTGAAAGAGGATTATCTCGGTTCGCAGGTGGTGAGCCATCTATCGGAGAAGATTTGGCTCGAGCTCGGGAAGAGCAGCCATAAATAATGAGCTAGACGACTTGGATGCGACCATGGTTGAGCCGAAGATTGAGGAGCATTGAGTGTTCTGGACCTTGCTTTGTGGCGTTGAGCAACCAGACAATAGCGGCTACGTTGAGAGGAGGAGTACAGTCCGACATGCCTCATTTGTGGGAAATTCCATCTGACGACGAGCTAGTTAGCATGTAGTCTCTTCTCTGGAGTCACAAATTTATGAAGCCGAATTGAGGTTGCAATACTTTTTGATTTCTCTTTGGGGTCCAACTCGGGAAGAGCCCCACGCAGAATTAATTGACCGCGGAAAGCGGATGGACAATATCGTTGACGTTACATGTTAACAATGAGAATGAGCAGATGCTTTGCATCGAGCCAGATGTGGGGTGTTCCCACCCTGTAGCCAAGACAAGAGCTTAGCAGGAGACTATTGTGGTAGTCTTACTTGTCTTTGAGAGTAGTGAGATCAACCATCCCAGATAGGACTAGCGGGTATTTGTCCCGGAGATACCTTAATCCGAGAGAAAGAAGAAGCGCCACTTCCTTCCTCTGCATCATTCGCATCTTCCTCGGTGTCTCGTCGGTCCCTGCATTGCCGCAGTATCGTACAATAGTACTGTCTCAAAAGGCATCATGCATCACACATGACTAACAGCATCTTTGTGACTGGATGAGCTCGAACAGCGGCCTCCCCGAGGAGTTCGTGAGCGTCGAATGGATCACCCCACGGCCGAGACTCGGTTGCTCTCGGGCTCCCCCTAAAACTTCCGGTCGGGCGTCGGGATTTGGTGGGCTGATCAAAGGCCTCAAATTAATAATTTGCTGCGAGTCATTTTGACTTTAGCTCGCTCGCTATTCTGTCTCTTGGGTGACTAACGGTTCTCGGCGTGCCATGACAGCAGAGAAGCTGCAGACGCAGATGTCTGCCTTCTTATCAGATGCCTCAATAGTGATGGATGTGACGGATATGCAGCTCCCACTGGGGGATCTGCTCTATCTGACAGGAGTGACAGCCCCTTGAACCAATTGAGAATGACTCGATTATCTTTTCACACTCAAAATTTTCCCAGCCCAATCACGGATCGACAGCCTTAGCATCATCTGGAACCTGATTTGACGCGTTAGTCTGGCACCTTCTGTACTTCCCCAGTTTCTCCGCGGAGATGCTCAAAAGGCCGCGCCGTTCAACTAGTATACACAAAAAAAAAAGTGGAAGCAAGAAAAAACTTCTCCCGCCACGGCATGCCGTCCACCCGAACTAACAAAAGCCCTCAAGGACCACCTCCTAATTGCTCACCGGATTATAAATACCAGGATAGACCATCACCATCAGAGTGCTCTTCCCCTTTCATTTTCCAAGATCCTTCTTAGACTCGTTCTCCTTTGGTACTCTTTGCATCATTTGTTCTGTCAGATCTACCCGTTCGCGGCAGATACATCCACACTAAACAATGGGTCTCACCCAGGAACAGACTGACATCATCAAGGCCACCGTGCCTGTGATCAAGGAGCATGGCAATGCTGTTACCAGCGTCTTCTACAAGAACATGCTCGCCGCGCACCCTGAGCTGAATGCCATCTTCAACTCATCCAACCAAGTGAACGGCCACCAACCCCGCGCCCTCGCCGGCGCTGTCTTCGCCTACGCCGCCAACATCGACAACCTTGGTGCTCTCGGCCCCGCAGTCGAGCTCATCTGCAACAAGCATGCCTCCCTCTACATCCAGCCCGAGCACTACAACATCGTCGGCAAGTTCTTGCTCGAGGCCATGGGCGAAGTCCTTGGTGACGCCTTCACCCCCGCCATCAAGGACGCGTGGGCCGCCGCTTACTTCCAACTCGCTGATATCATGATCAACCGCGAATCTGCCCTCTACAAGGAGGCCGACGGATGGACCGAGTTCCGCGATTTCCGCATTGCCAAGAAGGTGCCTGAATCTTCCGAGATCACCTCCTTCTACCTCGAGCCTGTTGATGGCAAGCCCCTTCCCTCTTTCCGTCCCGGACAGTACATTTCCATCCAGCTCTTCGTCCCCCAACTCAACCACCCTCAAGCCAGACAATACTCTCTCAGTGACAAGCCCCGCTCCGACTACTACCGGATCTCTGTGAAGAAGGAGGCTGGCCTTAATGCCACCGAACCGGGTGCTGAAGCCCACCCTGGCCTCGTGTCTAACATCCTGCACGATCTCAAGAAGGAAGGCGACATCATCAAGGTGTCGCACCCCCAGGGTGACTTCTTCCTGTCCGATGCGGAGAAGCAGAGCTCCAGCCCCATCGTTCTCTTGGCAGCCGGTGTGGGTCTGACCCCGCTCACCTCGATCCTGAACACCCTCCTCGAGACCGAGTCTGAGACACAGCGCAAAATCTCCTTCATTCACGGCGCTCGCACCTCCGCCGCCCGTGCCTTCAAGCCCCAGATCCGCGAGCTGGCCACCAAGGTGCCTAACTTGCAGGCCTTCTTCTTCACCAGCCACCCGGCTGCCGAGGACAAACAGGGTGAAGACTACGACTTTGCCGGTCGCCTGGACCTGAGCAAGCTGGATTTTAAGAAGGACCTGTTCCTGGACGATGCCACAACGCAGTACTACGTGTGTGGTCCCGAGTCGTTCATGCTGGATGTGAAGGGCAAGCTGGCTGCCGAGGGAGTGAGCGCGGATCGCATCAAGATGGAGCTGTTTGGCACTGGTGGTGTGCCCGCTTGATTGCGTCATTGACAGATACACACTGCATACACTTTTATCTGCTACCGATACAGATAGAGTAGAGCTTTGCATTATGGGTTACGACTGCATGGGTTAACCTTTGTACATAATTTTAGTTTTTTAATACCCTCCACTCAATTAATATTCGTTACACACTACAACCAGCTCACATAAGCAAATCACACTCATCAAACATTTCTTCCAGATTATCACAGTTTGAAGAATTATGTATGAAAGTTATCCACACAATTGACCTAATATTCACAACGAAAAGAAAATCCCTTACCCCCATCCCACTCTTAATTACCATACGCCTTAGCTTCACCCAACGCGACTCCCTTCAACTTCGCAAAATCCGGCGTTCCCAGCCCAGAAACTGGATCCCACCCAGTGGTCGCATTCCAACTAGCGAACGGCACAACGGGACTTCCATTGGGCGTGCCTCCAAACCGATTCCTACCATCACAACCCACACTTCCGCCCTTCACGATATCATTCAACGCGCCGCTCTCACTACCCACACCGTAAAGGAACGGGTTCAGGAATCCCATAACGGGCAAACCCGCTCTTAGTCTGGCGTCATTCAACAAGGCAATAACACCACTGAACGTCGGCGCGGAGCAACTTGTCCCGTCGAACTGGCCAAGCATGCCCTTGTCGTAGACTGCGTAGTTCTCGCCCTGCGCGGCGACGTCGGGGAAGGCGCGGCCGGAGGCGTTGAAGAGGCCTGAGAACTTGTTGCCCAGGTGTTGGGTGAGGTAGGTTTGGACGGCAGCCTGTTGGTAGGAGGGGCGGGGCCAGAGGTCGGAGAAGCCGCCTGAGGAGAAGGAGACGGCTTGTTCAGGGGAGGTTTTGGAGGTGGCACCGACGGAGGTTACCCAGGGGCAGGAGGCCGGGAATTGAGGAGGGAAGTGGGTGCGGTTGGTGCCGTCGTTGGTGAGACAGGCGGCGCCGACGCCGGAGTCACCGCTCGAGAAGATTACGGAGACGCCGCGGCTGCCGAGTTGGGCGTAGAGGTTGCAGACGGTGCGGGCGTAGGGGACGGGAATGGTCTGTTGTGGGAGGGGTGGTTAGTTGGGGTAGTTTTGGGGGATGAAAGGGGACCTACCTGTTCGTCTTCGCCGTAGGAGGTAGAGATGACTTGGGGGAGGTCGGAGTTGTTGAGCTTGAGGATACCCTGGAGGAAGTCGAGGTAGGGCTCGTTGCTGTTGTCGTTGGGATCCGGGGAGCTCAGGTCGGGGACTAGTTCGCCGCGTCCGCCAGTGCTGTATTCGGTGATCGGGACGGGAGAGCTGACACCCAGGATGTACTGCAGGTCGAGGTTGGCTTCGCCGCTGTCGCTCAATGAAAGCTGGTCGTTGAGGCCGCCGTTGAACTGGACGACGCTGAAGTTCTGGCCGATGGCGTTGGGAGCCAGGTGCTGCTCGAACCTTTCGAGATCGGCATACCGGGCGTATTCTTCGAGGTAACTGGCGAAGCCGACCTTGCTACCGGACTTGGGATCGGCCTGGTAATCACCGATATTGTAGAGCTGCTTCAGACAGTGCGGCGTGATGATGGAGTCGCAGTGGGACGTGTTCTGGGCCAGGGTGGCTGCGGTCAGGAATGTCTCGTCGGCGTGCTTAGGCTTGCTGCGCATGGTGGCACGGTTCGGCTGGATCTGGCCAAAGCGAGTGGTGGGCTGGATCATGTTGATGTGCGAGACCAAGGCGTCGGGGATGGAGTATTGCAGGGTACGTAGACGACGAATGTGCTTGGCGTCGCTGACATACCACTTGAAGTCGGCATCCAACAGGGCATTGGCCTTGTCGACAGTGGTATGGAACTTGACCCAGTCGGCGTCGACCTGGATATTGTGGACTCCGGCGGATTCCAGCCAGTCGCGGACTGAGTCGACGGCAGTGTCGCTGGGGAGGAGCATGCGCTTCATCTCATCATGTGTGCGGAAATGCTTTCCATAGTCGGCGTGACCGGGGGTGGACATGTCCATCACGGCTTGTTCGAAACCGGCAACATCGTGCTGCTGAAGGGCGATTTGAAGACGAATGATCTCGTTGCCGTGAGGATTGTTGGCGTATCTCCAGCCTGGTAGTAATTGAAGAACTCACGTTAGTATTTGGCCCGGGTCGAGGAATTGATGTTTGTAACTCACCATTGGGGACGCCGGACAGCTTCTCGAAGATCTCCGCGGCTACAGGCGAAGGGAGCAGCGACAATACCGCGAGGGATACGGCTGCTCCCTGGCTAAGGAGGGAGGATAACATGGTGAAAGGGTGTTGGAGAGACGAAGATGAGGGGAAGAAGACGGCAAAGGGGAGGTGAAAGGGACGAGAGATAAGTAGTAATCTTTATTTATTTGTTATGGGGGGATCATTCAGCAGCAGGACTATCTTTACTGCCACTGCAGGCGATTAAGACTGCGATGTGCATACCCTTACTGTATCGGGGGCTGGGAGGGGCGCTGATTGGGTCCGCTGCGAGTGTAGCCGAAGCTGGAGGTGACACTAGCGCCACACTGTCCGGCTGATCGACAGGGATGTCCCATCATTCCGCTGAGTTTCTGTGCTGCTTGCTTTGTTTTTGCCAGACTGCCCAAGATTTCAGTGTCTCGCAGGGCGTCCAACAAACCAGTTGTTTGGCTGGCTGGTTTGCACCATTCCCGCCAAGATCGTGCCAGGACCGGGCTTCTTATGATTGGCTAGGCGGGAGGCGGGAGAACAAGTTGGTGCCACTCGAGTGCAACCTCAGGAACCGCCCAGCCTGACCGGCTCCACCCGCCTTCCTGCTTCCCCTTTCCTGGCTCTTGGCACGGCTAGCAGAAGTGATAGTTCTGCTCCTATTTCGTCATTTTGGTAGCTTCTCCCCCCGCTTTCTAGATAAGCCACTAGCTAATCGGGCCAATCCCTTGGTTTCTGCAGCTTTGGGCTATCCTGAAGAGGCAGGTCACTGCTCGTTCATCAATGTTATCTTCTACAATGTAGTATTCTGCTGTCATGGTGTCAGTGAAGGATCAACTCCTCCGATGCTTTCGCCGGCTCTCCGCCGGGTGTAGCATCCTCTTCTCCTTGGCGTGGGGAAACGAGTTAGGACAGGACGGATAGACGGGTATTGACGCTGTGAAGCCAAATATTCTATCATCAGAGCAGCATTGGAAAGCCAGCACCTATTGCATATTGGTCACCGTCCAAGTCTCCTCCCATGAGTCCCATATGTTATTATTTTCTCCGAAATCCACATATCTGCCTCTAGTCAACTATAAATAGTCTGATCGGCAGTGAACTTCAGCTCGCGGCAGCCCACTTTCCCCTTATCTCGTTCGCGAATGCGAGCAATCGATGATCATACATTATAGATAGATCAAATGTATGGGCATATTGAGAGTAAGGGCTTGTGCACCCTTTCTAGGGTCTGAATCTTTCTCCGACATGCTCCCCGAGACATCAACAAACCTTGTGTTGACAGGGATATAGTACTCCGCGGCGCTTATCTCCATCTAGAAACGATCGGCCAGAGCCATTGTCCAATGACCATAGCTTTCGCCCAGGCCTGCTGCAGGGTCACTCGGAATAAATTTGCTTCTGATGATGCTGGATATTGTCGCGAAATGACTTACTTTTTGCTAAAAAGTAATTTACCATTTTTACTTCTATTTCTCGGAGATATTCCGCTTCTGAAGCTGTCACAAGGCGAGTAACAGTTTTAATCGGCATTGTGATAATACCCCAATAGGTACCCAGTAATAGCAAAAGAGTTGCGTCTACTTCGACCAAAAGATTTGCAACGGCGTGAAGGTAGTACTGTGGTTTTGTAGTGAGCAAAAGTAGCAAGGAATTGATAATGAAAAGGGTCATTCCACACATAACCCAACTCTCGATATCTCTCCGGTATGTTTACTTTTTCAGGCAGCCCTTCCATCCCTTCTCCTCTGCGAACTGCCATGCAGGGTCACGTGTCTGTATCACCTTCACGATATCCTCCCGCCAGCCAAATTGGAGGGGATCTCCATCCATAATCCATTCCACTTGATGCTCTCCCAATGTAGCACCAATATATTGGGATTCTTTCATGATGCTACGCAAGCCTGTTCCGCTGTTACGCGGTCAAAGGCGAACGTTCCACCGTCCAACCTTTCCATCCCGGACAAACCTCAGCCAGTCATGCCCCTTTAGTTGGAATGCGATCCTGACTCGTATGACTACACAAGAGGTCGCTTCTTGGTAAACGAAGATCACGAAATGGCCACACGCCGGGTAAGATTCAATATAAGTGAGCTAGCAAAGCGTGCGGCTGAATCAGTCGGCTTTTCACACGATCAATGTGTTGATGTTGAGAGACTTCTGCACGGAATGTTCAATAAAGCTTTCCTCTTCACCATGCAGGACGGTACACAAATTGTAGGCAAGGTGCCAAATCCGAATGCCGGGCGGCCACACTATACCACAGCCAGTGAAGTGGCAACGATGGATTTTGTAAGTAAGCAAGCTTCATACCTTTCTACACTCTTCACCTGCGTGTCTAATTCCCAATGGTAGGTAATAAATAAGCTGAGCACTCCAGTGCCGAAAGTTTTGGCTTGGAGCTCAAACGCAAGTGAGAACCCAATTGGTGCAGAATACATCATCATGGAGAAGGTTCGAGGTGTTCAGCTTGATAATGTTTGGCCACGGATGGATATCAAGCAGAGATTTGAGCTTGTCAAGACAATAGCCAGATATCAAAAAGCCTGGATGTCGAAGTCGTTCACCAAATATGGGAGTCTATATTATTCCAAAGACTTGCAAAGTAGTGGCTGCATCCTCGTGAATGAAGACGGGTCTCAGTAAAAAGACGACCGATTTGCTATCGGTCCATCAACAGGAAGAGGGTTCCTTGACGACGGTAGGATCGACGTGGACTTCGATCGGGGCCCCTGTAAGATTTCCTTACCAGCCTGTCAATATCTCCTGCTGATACGGCTCCAGGGAATAAGCTGTACGGATACAAATTAGCAATTGGGTTCCGAGAACTTGCCTGTGTACAGGAAATGCCCCAATTACCCCGGTCACTCCTGGGCTTATACGGTCCCGGCACATACCGTCGCTCACCATCGAAGAAAATAGCTGCTATTCGGGACTATCTCCGCATGGTGCATTTCTTCCTCCCAACGGATGACTCAATATCATCCGCATTCTTATGGAACCCTGATCTCCACGTTGCGAATATTTTTGTTAATCCCGAAAATCTATCTGAGGTTGTAGGCATCATTGACTGGCAGTCCAGTGAGGTTTTACCTCTTTTTGACCATGCACGTCAACCATATTTTCTTGACTATGATGGCCCTCCAGCAACTGGTCTTAGTCCACCGGACTTCCCACACGACTTTGATCAACTCAATGCTGATGAAAAGATAAAGGCCGAAAGGCTTTATTTGAACATGTCTCTCGCAACTCTGTATAGAAAGCTCACTTACGGCAAGAATAAGAGGCTGTTCAAAGCTATGGAGTTTCAGCAGACATCGAGCTTTGACATGATGCTATTCGCTCAGAATCTGCTAATCGATGGGGAAGCTCTATACCGGGCAAGGCTCCTTGAGCTTGAAGAAGAGTGGCCATGTCTCCCAGGCGTACAGGTTTCCGGAAATCCACCATTTCCTTTGCAATATACTACCGGCGAGGTCAGCTCTATTCACGAAGATGCAGATAAGGCATCCCGAAGCATGGGACTGATGCGGGGCGTGAAAGAGTCTCTGGGTGAACTGTGGCCAGAGAAAGGAATCGTGCCGCCTGAGCGGTATGATGAAGTTAGGGAGCTTCTCAGGCATGTTAAAACAGAGTTAATTCAACAGCTCGCAAATTCCGAAGAAGAGAAAATTGGCTGGGAAAAGGCATGGCCATTCGATGACTGATTTGAGGTTCGCTTCTGAAAGACCAGTAATAAAGACATGACTGAATTTGCAGAATTCTCCATCTCAATCACTGAGAGCAGCCTCCAGTCGTTTGGTTTCTTCGTTTTTACTTCGCGTTACATCCCCTCCTCCATTATCCCACCTCGGTGCTAGTAATTTAATCACTTAACTCTCTCCGAGTTTATACTGACTTTCGTTCCGCTGGGCGATACCGTTGAATTTCAGTGCCTTGGATACGTGCTTAAGCACTAATTTGACCATACTTATGGCAGCACCAAGATTTGTCTGCGCCAACTTCGAGTCCGACACGTCCGTTGCAAAAAAGAGGGAGATTCACGTGCAAGGGCTGCCGTCTCGTAAATGTGCGTTCAGCCTGGAGTATGAGAAACATTTGCACTGTAACTCACTAATCACTATGTCTTTGCAGTACTGCGGTCCAGAATGCCAAAGGTCCCATTGGCCTCAACATAAGTCAGCCTGCAAGTCACCACTGAGGCAGGGAACGTGGCAGCCAGTTTGGGCTCTAGAAAATCGACTGTCTTCATTTGTTCAAGGGCCCCTTAACCAATTTATTGGACAGAATAACACCTGTGGGGCAATACCCCTGCGATTGACGTCCTTCAGCTTGATTCAAATGAAGGACGTGACTATGATTATGATCTCCGTCTCTTGTTTGCCGGTATGTGTTTGGAGCTTTTGTTCAGTCTATATCATGGCCATAGCTGAACAGACATAATGTTGCCGCAGCTCGGGAGACCTCCAGAATTTCATTCAAACAATGGCTCGGCTCCCGAGGAGCTATGTTCGCTCACGATACCTCAAATGGCGTTAATTGGTAGCGGGGGCTGCATCCAACACTTTGAACATTAACTGACATCCCAATCCGTTGGCGCCACCGATATCCGTATGTCACAAAGTGCTGGGGCACTTCCGTCAACAGCTATCCTGGAGGAAGAGGCTGGGAGCATAAGATTATGAAGACCTTCTAGTTATCTTTCTATGACTTTCCACTAATTTTCTGTCTTTGAGGGCACTGGCTTATAAGCCGATAGTACGTAATAGCTAATACCATTGACATTCTGCATTCCCTTTCAATTTTTCTTGAGCATGGAATACTTGCTATGAAAAGATCCATCTATCTTGCATATATCTTACCTGATAGCTCAGCATTACTTCACGGACGTGGTCTTTATTCACAACTCTACATTCTATATACGGGAAGTGAAGCCACCACCAACCAATGCATATCCCAGCCGTTGCTCTATTCCCTGCATAGAGAGTGAAAATGATGCAGGCCATATAAATATCGAGATAGTTTCTCCAATTCCTCCTTTCTCCTCTTCAACCACCTTCATCTTCTTTACTCCATATCAACTAGCCTACTAATCTCCAACATCTGAACTTATGGTACCTAATAGTAGTTAAACCCGGATAACTATTCAATAGTCTATATCCCCATTATATATACCACATCTCAGATCTCTAAGAACGCCTGGGCAGAGAGATATGAAGAACCATCGAACAATCATCTCGAACCCGAGTCATTGAAGCGGGTCGATGACACCCAGTATAGCGACCTATACCAGCATAAACAAGCTGCACTTCAGGAGAACATATGTAGTTACAGAAAACGCAGCCCATTCTAACCGGCTGGGCGGTAAACTGTGAGGCGATATGCCCCCTCGGCCCTAAGCACCTCCCAAAGCTCATACTGTTCCGTCACAGAATTTTCCCACCTGCATTATACAAATAAAACGTGTGTTTCAACATGATGCTACACAAAGCTGCCCATAAATTTATCAACTTCAAAAAGTCTACATTGAAAGAACCTACAGAAGGTGCAGATATCTCCTATAGGAGCTATCGGGCAGCACCAGAATATTGCCCGGTGGCCTTTACGTATACATTGCTCTGGTTGCAGTTGTTGATTAGGTAAAGCGCGCTGCAGGAATCTTTTCCGCGGATCAATTTCTGCAGATTCGTCTATATCTGAGAATCCAAGATATATACCGGACAAACAGTTCATATCAAGTAAAAACATACTGGGCATTCAATGCCGGGATTGCCATAATAACTTGAATATGGTGGTTGGCCTTATACAACGCCATTGTACTGGAGCAAGGAGCAAATATGGGTTCCGACATTAGCGCCCTACATTCATCTGTCAAACGCTTGGGTCTATTGCATTCTACATACATCTTTCGCAGCCAGTATTAGTTACTGGTTAAACCAGAGAAAAGGAGTGGGTGAACTACACGCAAGTTCCCTTCCAAACAAACCGACTGTCTGAGCATGACAGCACTTAGCAACTGGTCCATCTTGGACAATTGAAGATAGATCTAGTCACACGTACTCCATTTCTGCTTCAGCTCTTATCCCTCCAATGCGCTTCCGTCAACTTATTGGTCTGGGAAAATACATATTCCATCCACGCAACCCAATCTGTGAGTGGGTGTTCATTGGTGTCACTCTTGCGAATCGGTGTGTTGTTCTAGTCTATTCTCTGATTACCTATCGCATAATTGCTGATCTTGTAGCAGGTACCCGGCGAGCACTTGCCTAAAGATCGGTTTCTCGTCGAAGCAGAGGTCTGCTGGCTTTGAGCAATATGCTTACATTTCCGTGGCAATCAGTGGTTTCAGGATGTGGTGTGCCAGACCCCGGGTATCAGCTGAGAAGAAAGATAATGTAGGCCCAGAGCGTCCTCTAAACGCCTAGAAATTTCCGAGAAAGAGACATGAACCACTCTTCTTGGAACGACCGACCACAAGTACCAACGTTCAATGAAATCAACCAGAAACTAACATCGCTGCCGGAACAAAGGTTCTAAAAGATCCAACAGCGATAAGACAAATACTACAATAGGCCATTCAGCCAGTGCTACCTAAGCCCGAGCTTGGTAAAGCAAGTAAACAAATATCCCACCATCGATGGCCAGATGATCATTGAAATTGAGCACTTTGTTTGCTCCTATTCTCTTTTGGTGAAGCTCTAGTACAGTGACGCCTCAACGCGAGCCATCAAAGGCTGGTCCAGAATATGGCAGAAAGACGAAAACGTTGCTCAGATCACCAGTATCCAGGAACTCGCAAGAGACACTCAATGGTGTGACAACCCCTCTTATATTCACCTTGTGTGAAGCGTGACCAGACATTTTTAGGATATCAGGGTATAGAGCCCACAATCTTCCATATAATTCTTCCTTATCTTATTCTTCTCTTTTCTTCTCTTCTTCTCTTTATTATCTACAACCTGCCTTCCCCCCCCCCCCAAATATCAAGATACATAGTAAGATATTTTATAATAAACTCTGGTGATGAGCAAGAAAAGTATTGATTTTTTGTTCTTCTCTCAAGATAATTACATATATCACTAATTATTTGCCAAAGATATTCCTGAGCTATTGCTGCTGCTTCTACTCCTCGCGGACTTACTTAGATACAGCTCGAGCGGTCTAAAGTAAGTTCTCTATATTGGAAGATTATGTCTGATTATAATCAATCTGATAACATACTGTTATATCATTAATAGATATTGATACTAACTAAATGTATAGATAAATGATACACTAGAAGACGCTGGAGTCGTAGTCCCGGAAGGGGTTTTATCCTCTATAAAGGATTTTACCGACGATCAAAAATTGCGTAAGAAAGAACTACGAGAAGAAATTACATAACTATAAGAACTAGAACGTGAACATAACGAAGCCCTTCGCATCAAAATTGAACGATGGGATGCCGCCCCCAAAGCTCTGGTGGACGCTCCCTCCGATGCTCCAAATATCTAGCGGAGTCAGGGAGCGAAATCGGGTCCAAGGAGCAAAATAGATACCTTATCATTCCCGGATCGACGTTTTAGAGCCGATTCCACAATATAAGTTGAAAGAAAGTACAGACTTAACCACATCTACTGCATCATCCTTGTTGTACCCTATAAATACTCCATATCAGGCTGCCGCCGCGCCTGATGCCGCACGTTGTTGATTCAAGGATCGATGTATGCGGACTTACATGATCATCTTGTTTTTCTGTGGCTTCCAAGACCATTTCTGCCTCCATCTCATCCCCAACCAAAGGTGCGTCGTTCCCGAAAAAGTTCGACGAAAAACACCCATCTTCCAGTATAGATCTGCAATGCTAATCTTGCTTATACATTTTGCCCGAGGTCTCTCATTCTGAGGCAAATCTCCCACTCGTATTATATCTATTTCTCTTTTTTGTTCTCTTTTCTTCTCATTCATATACCTCTCTAAAAATCTCTTTTCTCTCAATCAGATATGTGACCAGTACGGGATAGCTCCAGCTATCCAAACAAAGTTTCATATAGGACATCTTTATCTGACTCCGCAGACACTCTCCTCATCATCATAATATTATCAGATACCGACTCCAGTCACTCTATTACTTCTCACAATATCTCTTTTAGATCTACAACATCTTATCCGACGAAGAGTTACAGCAAACCAACGAATTAAAGAGACTAGGTGAACACAACTCCATTTTCGCCTTCTAAGAGACTTGCGGGGGCTGAAATATCCTCAGGTATCCTAGATTCATGCTTCTCATCGGGAGAATATCCACAAGGGACAGGAAAATCTACCCATTCTTGTGGTCGTATTTGCGAATCGAGACTAGTTTCCAGATTTATCCAGAATAGCGGCTGCTGGAATCGGTATAGCTTTCGTAGAGTCGTGGAAGCCGAGTTCATGACTGACATACATACTCTGGGAGAAATTGTACATAACTACCATTCGGGGTAGTAAGATCCATCGAGTATGAAGGAGGGAGTATTCAAGCTGGGGAATTACCCAAATAGCATGTTCCACAGTCTTATGAAAGAATGTCCTTAATTACTACTGTTCATCCATATACGTATTCAATCAATTAGAATTCCACTTACATGCCGGGTATATTCTATCAACATCCAAAATAGTAATCTGTCTATCCATCAACTCCAAACCCAAGCACCTCATCCACCTTCCGAATCTTCTCTTCCATCCGAGTAACCCTCCCCTGCCCTCTCCCCTCTATCCCCACAAGACAATATGGATCATCCCATTTCGGCCCGTCCCGATACCGAAGAATATTCTCCATTTTTCTGTGCTTCCTTTTCTGCGTAGGTTTCTGACATGTGTCCGCTGACGTCGTTCCGCTTTGTGTTCCCGTCTCTGCGCTTGTATTGGTATGCGTGGACTGAGATGTGATAGATCGCGTGGTACTTTTGCCTCGAGGATATATTTGATTCAAGGATTAGCTTTTAGCTTTTCTCTGGGTACTACTATACCATGAAGAGATGGTTGTAACAACGATGGTAAAAGTAAGTACCTTGTACTGGATGTGGTGTTGGGCATTGTGATTGGGTGTGTTTTGGATTTGTGGGCGAAGGATGTAAGGAGTTGTGGTGTAACTTAATCGATGTATGCAGCAGTATGGATTAAGCAGAGTAGATGATAACAGCAAGAGATTGGATGTATCGTAGTAGTCTTTTTCCTTTAAGAAACAACACATTTGAGTAGTGGTAGCATAGTATACACCAATTTATACCTACACCCACACACACAGACCGACAATAGTGTACTAGAGAGAGATATCTACAGCCTCATCGACTTCCTCTTTCTCAGCTACTAATCACTACACTCTTCACAGCCCACCATCGCCCATCTAGAAAGTGGTCTAGAATAAAGTCTCGACAGAAGAAAAGAAATGAAGCGAGTAGGCAACGACCGAGCACTACCCTACCTCCATCTATCACAATGCATAAATCTCATCTCATCTCATTTCCGCTCGGTGCAGTGCAGTGCAGACAGTCCAGTCCAGACCACACATAAATCCCCCCTACTAGTTTACTTGCATAGAATTGTATCCAATCTGCCCGTAAGCGACAATAGCTACTATCTAGTGTAGGTGTGTGTGTGTGTGTGTGTGTGTGTGTGTATCAATGCACACCTGGTCCAGACTTCCATCAGGTACATCCTTAATGTATCTTCAGATAAACCAACAAGTAAACCTAAGGTATGATTCGATGACGACATCCCCTCCAACCGTGGCCAGAAGCTATCTACATTACATGGAGAAAAGCAAAATGGTGGATTGTCGGCTGGGCGGGAATTATCGGCCGGTCTGGATCGGTCGGGCCAGCCAGGACGTTCTAGAATCGAAACATTTCTTTTTGGTTTTGTTTTGTTTTGTTTTGGGAGGGTGTGTCGAGCTCGGGGAGGAGGGCGGGCTGGTTTGTATTTCAATGAAATGCATTTAATGAACTGATTAATTAGGAAATAGGGCGGAGTTGTCACTATTTCAAACATGAATGATTTTGTGTTCATTGGGTATCTATGATGATTTTGGTTGTTAGGAGAAATCTCGCAAGGCTGGATCAATTGGGTTGATGGGGAGGGGGGACGGGCGGGGTTCAGGCCTTGTCGGTGTAACGGATGGAGTTGATGGGTTAACTTTTAGTTGGGATGGGATGGGATGGGTCCAGGGACGGGTAACTCGGTCTAGGTCTTTCTGTTGTTTTTATTACTGTTTTGTGCATCGACTTTGGAGTATTACATATTACTTTTGAAGGATAAGAAAATAATGTAAAGTAGTGAGTGGATTAGGTCGAACTTTTATCTCCGGGTATATATCAACACAACACCAATTCATCCCATAATTCGCCGCCCACGACAGGAGAGGGCCATGAAACAAACTCCCAGATCTTGTTGTAAGATGTAAGGAACAAAAGAAAAGAAAATCATAATTATTATACAATATACGTGACGGTCATTACAAGGGGATATTTGGGCAGAGACAAAACAACGCATCGCCGCTGGGCTTATGCGTGAAACGCCTCACTCCCCTTGCTATGTCGCCACATCCCGTTCGGAACCATGCTTTGTTTGAGCATGGCAAGCTCCTTCTGGAGCGCCTTGTTCTCCTCCTGCAATTCTTGCATAAAGGTGATGGCATTGGTCAGGATCTCCGACTTCTTCAGCGACGCCGAGCCGCCCTTGGTGGGCTTCTGGACTCCGCCGCACATCGCCTTCTCCAGGGCGACGAACTTGGCGTTCATGTTCGTGCGGTACCGCTTCTCGATGATGTTGTGCGCCGCCCGCTTCGCCGCATTGCGGCCGGTGGTGGTCTGGGCCTGACCCGTGCTGGCGTTGGAGTCGCTGGACAGACTGCGGGTGGTCTTGCGGGCGGTGTTGTTGGCGGCAGGGGAGGAGGGGGCGGGCGGGGGTGAGACACTGGTGGCGGGGTAGTCCTGCGGTGTAATTTCCGGACTGGACGACCACCTTGTCGCGGTAACCTCGCGAGCCTTCGGTTGAGACGTCGTCTTGCGACGAGTAGATGTCTTGGAAGTACGAGCAGCCGGCTTAGGCAGCTCCATGTGGATAGGCTCAATGGGAGAGACACGGCAGGTAGGAGACCATGATTGGTCATCACTGTCAAGGTCCTATTGAGTATATGTTAGTTATGGTTCATCATTCAATGCTGATGGAGAAAGACATACCGATGAGAGAGACCCGCAGGAGGCAGCATCTTCACCCGAGTGGTTGGAGATGGTGAACGCACTGATATCTGGGGGTGGGGCGAAGAAGTCGGCGGGAAAATCCTTGGGGTCCAAGTTCATCATCTCGTTGGACATCTCCAAGGGGAAAGTCTCCGGCATCATGGTGTTGAGGGAGAACAGATCGATGGCATTGTCGTAGCTCCAGTTAGCCGACAGAGGATCGGGTCCCTTGGCGAAGGTATCATTGGGACGAGTGAGTGGGCTCGGATGGCTCATGCTGTACATCCGCTCGTCGTCTAACGAGAAGGAATCGGGCCTAGGGTATGCCATACTAGTGGACTTGGATGGGGTTGAATTGAATGGATGACGATGTGGATTGTCTGATAGTACTTGGTGTGGGAGGCAAACTTGATAGTCGAGTTGACAGTCAAGGTCGAGTGGCAAGTAGAAGAGTGTTGAGGAGGCAAGAGAAGGGTAAATATAAAGAAGCTGTTTGATATTGAACCGTGGATCGGAAGGATGCTAGGCAGTAGAAGACATCGGGGGATGGACTATATAAAGGTGGAAGGTTTCAGGAGAAGCCGGTGTCAGAAACCGATCGCCAGGCCAGCCGAGACGCAATGATGTAATGGCTTGCAACGGTCGAAAAATCCACGGCCAGCGAGAATAATGAGGGCCAGCATAATTGGACTGGAGACGCGCAAGAAAAGCCATGACCATTGTCGAAACGATAATTGCACAGGGCCGGTGAAGGGGCACCGAGAGATCACCCCAGCCGGATGCAGGGCATCCAGCCTCGGTCGGCTCCGATGTCTGCCGTCGGAAGGCCCATTTGGGGGGAGTGAGTGAATGGGAAGCAGGGGAAAGCTCAGCAGGAGGGAGCTGAGGCAAACTACAGCTCAGTAGAGTACGTACTAGACTCTCGCCAGAAAATAGAAAATCAAAATAAAATAAAAAAGGAAAAAATCAAGAGAAAAGGACGGATTGGAGAGCCGTGGAGGGCGGGATCGGTGGATCGATCGATGCACAACCGTTGGACTGGCTTCCCTTTCGTTTGCTGGCTATACCTCTTCTGGTTTAGTTCCCCGCCAAGTACCGCCGCGGCCGAGTCTCGGCTCCGACATCTTCGGCCGGACGAGGAGGAAACTCGACAGAAGTAAGAACAGCTGGACAAATGATTTTTCTGTTTTTTTCCCTTTCCTACTTACTCTCCTTTGTCCAACATGACTTCTCCATCTCCTACTCCATACACTCAACTCACTGACCAAAATGGCAACAGTCAAATGCGGAATT